TAATACTGGTAATTCGAGGGGTCTCTCCTAACTGCTGTTGCAGCAGTAGTCATATTTGTTCATTTATTCATTCATTTTTTCTGGTGGTGTATTTGAATGTTTATACAAAATCCATTTGATTATGCAGCTTCTAACCAATAAAAAAAATTATTTTACACTTTTTTAACACTTATTGCAACACTGCAACAGTTTCTGCAGTTAACATAAATTGTCAGCAGTGCTAATGATGGTTTGACTATTTAAGCAAAGACTACAACTGCCAATGGTCTTCTTTTCGGCATCAATTGCCTGAATGCTGACGACAGCCAATTTTAGTTGATTTCAACCAAACGACGGTACCAGAATTGTACGCTAGAACAGTTGTATGAAGCAGAAGAAACAATTTGCTGACATGTTCAGTTGCTCAGCAGCCAACAGCAGGCTACCGTGCAACGATTCTTCGTAGCTTTGGTTCCATCTGCCTTGCTTACAGTTACACGAACAAAACAGTTATTCTATCATTTTATCATATAACTTGCTAGCAATTTGCAACATTTTCTTGTCCGACATAGGCCGTCATTATCGACTGATTAAAGTGGTATTTTTCAGCAAAATAAAACAGATTATAATTTGAACATTTATTGTTTAAACAAATCAACAATGTTGGCACTTTTTTTTACAAATAAGGTCAAAAGAACCTAAACTTTTTTCTAGAAAGCAGCTTATCACAGTGGAAAAAAAAATATACCAAAATGACAATAAAAAAGTAAAAAAGAGAAAAAATTAGAAAAAAAATAATTGTTTTTTTTCCCTTGTTGAATCAAGCTTAGCTAACAAAATTTTGTTTACATTTTTTTAATAAGCAAAATGGTTCTCACTAATTTCAGAAAAATATTATATCACTATCCTCCTACCAAACCTTTCTTGACAAAAATGAATCTCTGCTACGCTTTATAATCTGTAATAATTTAAAAGGCTTTAAGCTTAGTAGAGTATCTGAAGGCCATATATGCCTCAAAAAAAGAAGATAAAGAAGAAAATAAAAAAAACAAAAGAAAAAATAAAAAAAAATATTTATCTTTTGTTCCAGATCAAATTAGATCTTTATTTCGAGAATTAAACCCATTGATAGCTTCCCGTCCTCCGTTAATGTGGCATAGATTTGGCACCCTGTAACCGCGGCGAATCATCTTCACCAAATTCGACGCATGGTACTCGGGGCGGTGAAACCTGCTCAACCTGGCTAGAATTTTGTGTGGAACCGCTGTGAACAGAATCCAGCATCACCTCTTGTTTGATCATATATCGTCGCTTACCGGTACTGCAAAGGTAATAGCCATCAGTCTTTTGAAAAATAACAGTATACACTATAAGTGTTTACTAAGTTCTATAATTCCTAAAGGTGTAGTCTTTTGTCACTTCCTAATCAGCTTCAAGCAATCATCACCGCTTGTTGCGCTGACGATAATACTGGTTCTAAACTATTTTGTTTTCTTCCAGTTTAAAACTCTTTAGTAACCTGGTATCTGTGTCACTTCCTGATGGCTCAGATTTTTTATAACGATGTGTTGGTGAAACAGATATTCTAAACCGCCGCTGTTGAGTACCAACTGCAGGTGGTATCTAAAATTCAAGAAATTTATTTACCGTGTTAAACTCCAAACAAGCATTTTACTTTTTGGTTAAGGTCAACAAGGTGAACGTTTCCAACTTACAGGTTTATATTCTTCACCATATTTCTCCTTCTTTTCAGGAGGTGGTTTATGAGTTTGGGGCCACTGTTGGGAAAATGGTTTTTCCCTTTGCATTCTGGCTTCAGTCGGTGAAGGCCAGGAACGAAATTCTGTCGACGTTGACGGCAGTTCATGCCTAAAAAGTCTGTTTTACAGATCTTTTTCCACAGCAGCCTCTTCTTCGTGAGCGACAACGCTTCAGTCTCATAGATTTGACAAAATTTTGCAGGATACGATCATTGCATTTGAAGTGGTGTGTGCCGAAAGCAAACTAGGTTTGAAATTTTTTCTATAGGCAATCTTGCCTTGGTAATGCGCCCCTTTTCGGAGATGTATTATTGCCATCTCTCCTTGAAAAATGTTCTTTCGTACTGCCTCCGCTGTCGCTCAGACGAACCCTGTCCGGAGTGGTCCTAGCTTCTGGTAAAGGTTTTGTCAACGCAGTTTCTGGAAGTTGCCTACAAAAAAAAATAAATGAATAAAAGAATTGAAGTTTAGTGTGGTTCACGGGGAAATAATAAGAACATGTAAGACTTTCAATTATCTTTTTTTTCAATTACCATTGACAAAATAAGAACTGAAATACCTCGCAGCACACAATCACAACAAAAATTAGGTGAAGTTTTAGATGTTTTTTACATTGTTAAGTCACTTGGCACCAAGTTTTCAGCACTGTGCAATAATAAACTAAGTAGATGTTATCACCCTTTTAAAAAAAATCAAAATGTGTTATCCCTCCCACTCAGTTGTCTTCTGTAAACAAGAATTAAAATTTTTGTTATTTTTAATTTATCCACCATTAAAAAACAAAACAATTTTCAAAAGATGAGGTTGAAAAACTTGAGAAAAACCTCTTGAGTTCTGTCCTTAAAAGTTTCCCTACCTAATGTAATAGTTGAATAAAGTCAAAAGATATTTAAAAAGGACACATTGTTAAAAAACAACAGCAGGAGTTGAACAGAATAATTTTTTAAGTTTCTTCAGTTTTTCTAGCTTTTGTACAAGTAAAAAATAGGAAGCTAGAAGAAAAAGCTTATTGATTAGCTCTGACTGCTTCTAAGAAATAGTGCACAATTCTCTGTCCTCCATTTATGTGAAAATGCGGAGTGCACTGTAACTTGGTATTCCGACCACCCATCTCTCTAAAGAGTTCCAGTCGGTTAAAAATAATATTCAGTTTTTGGCAGTAGTTAATGGTATCAAACTTAAGACATAGTTTCTTTGACAATGGATTAAAAGACCTTTGACACTGACAGTGAGACAATAAAATAACCTAATAATACATCACCACATTGATCGAGTATTGTATTAGAGAGTTAGTCCTCACCCAAAGTCAAGTTGCTTGTAAAAGTCATTTACGCCTGCATTTTCATAAAGGCTAGTGTTAGAACACTGTTTACTACAACGTCGAGAACTACTGTCCAAATTGGTTGAAAAGACAAATTTAACAGTTCCAGTTTCGCTTTCCCGAGGAAATGCAGCAAACGAATATGCTGACTGTCTACGAACAGTTGGTAAACGCATCAAACATCTAGAATGCCGTAAGTTTGTTAGTTCAATCCATTAAGAATAATTTTTAATTTGTTAGTCATTCATCTTCCTAAAAAGTCGTCATAAAGTTATCGTTAACATTTTTGTCATTTTTAATTGTAATCCACAGTTATTCCTGTTCTTCATTGTTAGGTGACTTACTAGATGTGCCGCTACGGTTGTTACAGTTAAAATCATACGTACGTGACTGAAAAAAAAGTACTTGATTTCTTCAGGTGTTACAAGTTGTACTACACCAGATGTGTTGTCAAAGGAATTTTCGCTTTTAATTTCTGGACTTGACCATTCTTCAGTCCGTTCTGGAAGTTCATGTGCTGATATGTCTGCAGCTCTTGACGGTTGTTTCTCCATCGACCTCTCGCTTCGTTTTAGTGCAGATCTAAATTTATCAACAGTTTTAAATACTGTTGAAGGCAGAAAAGAATCACTGATAAATATATTACTCAATATCCGTTGAAGAATCTTTTGACGGTAGGAGTGATTTAGCCCGAGAAGGTAGAGACGGCGACTGCGTTCGCATTGTATGAGTAGCATCATCACTGGTTTGATCAGATACACAGACCGATTCGTTGTCATGCTGAAAAATAACTCTTCTGACCATTGGTAACTAATTCATAGATTGAGTAAAGCTCATTGTTAAACTATAGATAATAAATTATTTTCCTTGAAATAGCCTATTTCCAAGTAGTTACTGAAATACGCTCAACAAGCTTCTAGACAGTAAAGAAATTTGACTGTTCTATCAACTTTTATGACGAGTTAAACAGTTTCATTTCTTGTTTGACAAAAAAAGCATTTTTGAGCGTTTAAAACTAGAAACAGATATGTTCACCGCCGAACGGGGGTTAAAATTTTTTTCAATTCAAATAGGTAAAGAAGAGACATCTTAAAAGAAGCCTCTTTATTTGCTAACAAAAATTCGATTTTTCAAAGTAATAATTTTTTTTATCAACATGAGAAAGTATAATAAACTTTATTTTGCACAATTTGTTTTCCCGTTCACTCTTCTCATTTTATAAAACTGAAGTACCCCTTTTTCCCTACTAATTTGCTCAAAAAAAAACAGTTGAAAATGCTGCAGTGGCAAAAGTTTACTCCAGAATAAGCTCTCCACGGTTCACGACGCTTTTGTTCAACCAGCGGCAAATAGCTGACAACCTTTTTCTTCTTGTCGAAACGCATCATATCGGACTTCTTCTTTGTCCCGCCGCCCGCTAGTTCAAAAATTTTTTTCTTTTCTTCAGTTCTTTCCTGTAAAATAAATGCAATTTGAGTAGAGTTTCTGAAGATGATATGTTTTGAAGCAATATTTGAAAAAGTATAATCAGTTATCAAAGGGCATTATTTGTCAAACAATTGGACATTTTGCAGCATAAACTAACATGGAAGAGCTGTTGCTGTAAATCATTGTTTGCTTCTCGTAATCCGCGGACCAACGATACCAAAAAATAAATTATAAGCCTAAAAAAAAAGAAAATAAATAAATAAAAGTAATTTAGTCTTCCTCATAAACTGTTATAAAAATTTAACAGAAATTTTTGCTCCTCACATCAGCTTTTTTGAATGTCGAACTTACTCAGCATTATCGCTGACACATATAACAAACGGATAAAAAATCTGCTGTAACTGGAAATAAAAACTTACAAAAGAAGCAATAAAGTTGGAATAACAATCCCAGGAGAGGCAATTCCCTTAAGTACTTCAAAAATATTTCTAGTTGTTTTATATTTTTCCAACATATCAGTGACAACATTGTAGTAGCGTTGTTGGTTGCTGAAATTTCAATGCAATATTGTAGTTAAAAACTTCTTTTCAAAATTTATTGCTTGCTGAAGATTGATGAATGAATGGATTTTAAAACAGCAAATAATGTTTTTACTCTTACGCAAATGGCCCGCAGTCAACAGATGGCAATTTTGAAGCAAAAACCCAAAAAACTGGAACTGTACATAACAAAAGCCACAGCAACAGAATCCACAAATAGAAATTGCTTGACCTATAAAAATAACGACAACAGTATAATTCAGATGACCATTTACAAGTTGTGATAACGCCAATAAATAATCGAAAAAAGTTGCTTTCATCTGATGTCGCCAAGCTATTATCTTATGAAAGATATGTCGAAACATATTTGTTTATATTGAACGCTTTGAAAGTTTTGGGACATCAGTGCGATTTATAAATGCTTCTACACATCAATTTTTTTCAGCTTAACTTATCCGGAAAATGAAATTTGTCTGCTGAAGATGGTTCAATTAGGTAGTACCTGGATGCTCGAAATATTTCTCGTGCAGGAACATTACAGGTCATACAAGCCCACGCCCGAATGTACAACAGAACAATCATTTTTACATTGTTTAGAACTGGCAGCATAGGGGCAAAAAACAGTCCTAACCATACCATTCCCTGGTTGTTGATTATATGAAGTACATTTTCAGCAACTTTAAATTCGCCGTATTCTGGCTGAAAGTGGTTATGTTGAAATGAAACTGCATTTGAAGAATTAATAAACGTCATCAGGTAACAGAGTCCAATTTTTTAGATGCACCTATTTCATTTTTGCTTTTTTCGTTAAACTAGTCTTGATGTTTTAATTAATGCATAGAGCAGTCTTTGATACATCACAAAAATGGTCTGATTGGATAGAGTTAAAGAGCAACAAGCGGCGCTTCATATACTGCGCAATCTTTAAAAACACGATAGTTGCTTGCAAAAAAAATAGCATTTGAAGGATTACACGAACAACATAAAAGGCTGTTTGTTAATTTCATGTATCAGCAGCTCTTTAATCAAACTTTGATTTGGTTGATTCAAAGTAGTTGTTTTTTTTAAAGTCTAAAAAAAATTTAAGATACTTATGGTAAGCGACACTTACGAAAGTGGTTTCAATGTCCCAACACCACCACGAACTGCAATATCGAATCCATAGGCCACGAAAAAAATCAATGATTAAAATTGATGCTATGGTTATTATGAGATCCATCGTGACTAGTTTAACCAACTCCTAAACATTAACCCCAGTAAAACACTACTTTTTCTTTTGGAAATTTTAATATCAACATGATACACGACAAGTAAAGAGAGAAGAATTTTCTTTTTTTAAATGTCAAATGTAGCAAAAGTTTGAAATGTTGTAGCAAAAATAATATTTGCATTTGAAAAGTTTATATGAATTTTGTGACCGAAGTATCAGAATGTAAATTTGATAAACGATAAAACAAATAGTGTTATTTAAAGCTTTTTTATCATTCAGCCATACAGAGTTTAAAAAATAAAGTTTTGATCATTGACCTGTCCAATCATTGTTTCCCAACAAACAATTGCAGAATCTGTTCTATTTTCATCATATCGATCATAAAATTCCACTAAAATAAAAGCAAAAGTTCTCCTCTTTTTTTGCCATTAAAATAACACTTTTTCCTTATATTAAATACTAATTTTAAAAAATTATTTGATTTGCCTAAAATGTTTTTTTTTTTTTACCAACATTAATGTATCAATAAATCTTTCAAAAAATTATTGTTCAAAAACAAACAAACAAAAAAATGACAACAAGCAACTTATCAATGAACAGAATCTAAAAAATTAACCGTCAAATCCGGTCTCGTTTAAATAGAAGGCTGTATCGTTGCCAAGGATCAATGCAGTGGTGATATTATCCTAAAGAAAAAAAAAAACAAAAAAAAAAAACGAAAAAGGATTATATATTTATATAAAATGTTTTAAAATTATAGAGCATAGCAATTAGATTTTCATAAATTTCTTTGGCAAAAAATTAATTATTTCTAGTAATTATTTCAGTTTTTCTGTTCAAAAAAGGCCTTTTTTTGCAGGTTCCCTAACTTGCTCTTATTGCTTTTGTCTGATAAATAGCAAAAAAAAAAAAGAAGAAAAAAAAACAAAAGTAAGATTCTGCTCTAAATCATATGTCTTCCGAAAGAAAGTGCAACGAGGACTAACATAATAATTTTACTAGTCTTAACAATTTATTCAAAAGCAGAAGAAAA